TTGTTTAATGTATACACGGCAGACATCCCCACCTTAAGTCCCACGTCAATGGCGCTTTACGCAGACGACACATGCTTGATCTACTCGGATCGGGATGCCATAAATGTAAGCAACACTTTACAGGGAAATATAGACCTTATGGTGGAATACTTCCAAAAATGGAAGATTAAAATTAATAATGACAAAACCAAGGCTATATTTATAACTCGAAAAAGAAGACAGCATTCTCCAAGAGTGAGTGTTTGCGACACGGAGATACAGTGGGAGGATAACATAAAATATCTGGGGGTCACTTTTGACAAACGGTTCAATTGGCTTAAACATTTGAAATACAAACGGAATAGCTTGTATTCCGCATTTATTAAATGCGGAATAAGATTCTGCATTTATTAAAGCCGATATTTAATAATTATCACTTCAACTTTAAAAACAGAAAGTTACTTTATACGCAAGTAATTAGACCTGCACTACTGTACGGCTATGTTACATATAGCAAAGCCGCCTCAAATACTACCTTAAAGCAATTACAGATAGCTCAAAACCTGGCCTTAAGAAAACTGTTTAAGATTCCATGGTACATTAGATCAACGGACATACATAGAGATCTTAGGATTGACTCAGTGAAAAAATATATCAGAGACAGAGCTTTAAAATTATTCACTAAAGTTGATACGCTACTTAACCCTGCCATAACAATCCTCAAGTCCACTTCTGGACTCCCAGGAAGATATGCTGATTTAAGGTCCGTCATCAACTAAAAGACAAATAAATCATATGTTTTTTTTTTAGCCTAGTTATAGCCTAGTGAGGGGTAGAGATAAGCCCACCAGCCATTATAGAGTAAAAGTGCGTAATAGCACTAACTCAAGAAGAAGAAGAATCAAGAAGTAAATGAATGCATTATTAAACTTGTCAAACATCGAATTTACATGAATTATAAAATATTTTTTTAAATAATTCATAATTTTTTTTAGACTACAATGTCAACAACAATGCAGTCAGTAGGTATCAGAGTCTCGGGCACTATAGCTTTTTGACGCTGCTTGTTTAATATATGTATGTACATTAAAATATATATTTTTCAATACATCGCCATTTGACTATTTGTCGCCCAGGATATGACATGTCTCGCTTCCCTGTTTACTACATCAAGGAACTCAGTTTGACTTGAATGAATAAACTCAATATGAGGCCAAATAGCTTTAACGGTATTGTGATAGAGAATAGCTCTACACAAGTAATAAAATTATGTTTTACATGCCTAAATTCAGGTTTAAAGCGATAAAGTATGAAAATATGTATATTTATAAGGTGCGATACATTCAAACGTCCGTAAAAATGTATTTATAAATAAGTATTATTTTACAATCGCTAAATAAGAATAAGACCTAATGGCAAATCATTTGGAATGAAACATATAACATTTAAATAATATTGTAAGGCAAATAACATTTTATTTAAAAAATTTCGTTATTTCATCTAATCATTTTCTCGTTGCTAGGTGTGTTCAATTCGAAACAGTGTTGCATTTAATATAAGCGCAAACAAAAATTGAGACAACACACACGGTTGAACTGCAAACACGCACACGCCAGTGTGGTTACAACAATTGATAAAGCGCTATTATGGTTTTTTAATAGCAATAATTTAATGATGCATTTTGTTTAAATCTATTATTCTGAACAACTTTTGCCACTACGCTATATAAAAATATTGAAATTGAATATTGAAAGAATATATTGAAATTGCAAAAACTTTCAATTTTTAAAAAACAGTTTTGAAACACAGTTGTTTTAAATCGTGGTTTGGGTAATCTACGTAAAAATTTATCTAGTTATTGTGAGTAGATATCATAATTACTTTTTGTTTATCAATGTAAATATTTGCAGTGTTAACGCACCATATTTGCAAAACCAAACTAATTTAGAATATAACGCGCTGTTCTGAACTGTTCTCATCAAGCCGAGGCGACTTGGAAACTGCAAGTGCGCCATTAAAGTTATTTCTTTTCTAAAAATTACACTATATTGTATTTTATAAGAACCGCATATTATCAAGAAAATTTTTTTAAACAAATACATTTCTACATATAATCTATATAGTTTTATGTACATATATATATAAATTTAACAACTGCTCATTTCAAGACTAAAACAATTATAGCAAATTATTTACCATAAGATTAAAAACATTTGTTGAAAAAAGATGTAAAAATATAATAATTTCATGACAAAATTGTTTTTCATTGGATTTAAATATAGTTGGGAGGGGAGAAGCGCGCTGCCTACAGTATATAAAATATATGTAACAGTATACAAAATATTGTTTCTTACAAGCATATATTTCATTTTATGTATAAAAAAATATATATATTTTACCTAATACTGTCTTGTCAAATCATTTTATGATCAAAAAAAAAATTTTTTATTAATTACTTAAACTGTGGGAATTTTATTTGTGTATTGTACATCGCAAAACTTTTGAATGAACATCGTCGCTAGGATTTTGACATGACATGTGAACTTCTGGGAAATTTTATTTCACATTAATTACTGATTGAGAGAAGTGTCTTTTTTTATATATTATAACAGACAAAAGAAAATAAGTAAGTTTTTTTGATATGTATACAGTTTTTAAAACAATATTTGTGATAATAAAAGTTTGAAGTACTTTAAAAAGGGTATTTACAATTTTAATGTGTGTTTGTGTATAAGTAATCAATTTTTTTATTGCATTTTTGCAGCTGAGAACGCTTATTAACTATAAAACATAGATATCAACTCTAAATTGTTGCGAATATTCATTTTTTTCTCACTTAAGCAATATGAAGGAAGAGGGTGGTAAGGAGGATTTAGCTGATCCAGTTGGCTTTTTAAAGGATTTTGCTGCTGGTGGCATATCTGCAGCTATATCCAAAACGGTTGTGGCGCCAATCGAGCGTGTAAAACTGTTGCTGCAAGTGCAAGCAATTTCTAAGCAGATAAAACCTGAAGATAAATATAAAGGAATTGTAGATTGCTTTATACGAATCCCTAAAGAACAAGGCGTGGCGTCTTTTTGGCGTGGTAATCTTGCCAACGTCCTAAGATATTTCCCAACACAAGCACTAAATTTTGCTTTCAAGGATAAATATCAGCAGGTAAATTCATAAAAAATTATTTGAGAAACAATTTTATAGATTTATATTCCTGCAGATATTTTTGGGTGGAGTAGACAAACATACCCAATTTTGGCGTTACTTTGCCGGTAATTTAGCATCAGGTGGTGCAGCTGGTGCCACATCTTTATTTTTTGTCTATCCCCTAGATTTTGCTCGTACTCGGTAATACTAAGTTATGTGAAGTAAAAAACTTGTATTATAAACTTTTGTTTTGTAGTTTGGCTGTAGATGTTGGAAAGGAAGGTAACCGACAATTCACAGGCCTTATCGATTGTATAGTAAAAATTTTTAAAACTGATGGTTTTATGGGGCTATATCGCGGTTTCAATGTCTCTGTTCAGGGTATAATTATTTACAGAGCCGCTTATTTTGGTTGTTATGATACCGTACGTGACTACATGCCAAAGGATCAAAAGGTCTACATCAAATTTCTTGTTGCAGAACTTGTAACGACACTTGCTGGTATTGTCTCTTATCCACTCGATACTGTACGTCGTCGTATGATGATGCAATCGGGTATTCCAATGGAAGAGCGACAGTATAAAAATACTGCTCATTGTTGGGTTCAAATCTTCAAACAGGAGGGATTCGGCGCTTTCTTCAAAGGAGCGTTTTCCAATGTTCTCCGAGGAACAGGGGCTGCGCTGGTACTTGTACTTTATGATGAAATAAAAAAATTTCTTTAAATATAATTTTTGTACAAGAGAAAAAGGTGGCGGTTTGGAAATAAATAATTCTTTGAAAATGAATAAAATATGTATATGACTTTATTAGTATTAATTTATTGTTTAACATTTACCGCGAGCTTATAATATTTAAATAGCATTAGAATATATATGTATGGATTCAGCATGAAAAATGACATACTACATATGTTCTACTGTTCTTAAGAAATAATTATGGATATGTAATGAAATGAAAGTTTTCGTTCTTCTGCTGAGAGTTAGATCACAATCTAGTAACTTTATCAAGAATTTCGTGTTCTTGTATTTCTCAGTGTCCTGTAACCTAATCAATTGAAAAAAGTTTAGAAAAATCATTAAGGGAAGTCGGTAGTCGCCATGTACAAGAGAAGCAATTGTAATACCTATTAGAGATTTAATTAGAACTTAGCTGTCATACCAGAAAGCGTGTAATTCATAATTACCATTACCTTTGCCTGAAAGATACTGCAATATTCAGAAAGTGTAAGCGACACGCTAATAATCTGTTTATTAAAATAGATTTCACTGCCGACGAACTCCTGATCGAGGTTTAGTTATGAACACATATAGTTAATAGAACAATTGTTACTAATTAAGCGCACTGTATAACTCAATAAACTGTATATGAAGCATAGCAATACATGAGTCGGCCATCTTCCTTGGCTTGTCGAGCAGCCAAAGGTAACTAGCCTTTTCAGATGCTCAGCATCAAAATACAGCTTCGTATAGAAGGTCAGGTTCTATAAAGCTGTATAGAGTCAAGAGATTCGAAGTCGAATACCCCATACCCCATACGAATATTATATGTAAAATAATATATAATAATATCTAGAATTAAAATAATTAATAACAGAACGGTATACATAAAAATACATTGCGATAAATTTGAATGAATGGGTCCAAACCCCATGTAATCACCAAATTCAGTTAAAATAATATAATAATAAATCAAATTTTTTTTTTCATTAAAGACAAGGTTGCAACGTCATCTATAGATCATCGGCTAAATCAATTATACATATATACATATATTAAAATAAATATATATATAATAATATATAAAATGCACGTGTTATTTATTACTTTTCAAATCAAGAACTAGTGAAAATACTAGCGCCGTAGTGTATAGTACAAGGACAAATCGTGCTGTGGCGTATGGTACGGTGACAATTCTACCCCTTATGAACTAGTGAAAAGATTAGTTTCGAGGTGTATCATACGGGGACAATTGACACCGACAATGACAATTCAATGTAAAATTCGCCAGTTGAGCCCACGTAAAGTGGGTTATGAAGCGACTAGTACTATACACCTGAGGACTAGTGAATTCGCTAGTTCAGAACTACTCGCAGGCGCTGATGGGTTTACAATAAGTAATATTTATACCACTTAGTGTTCAGCATTATATTTTTCACATTGAAAGTACTTTTGTGTTGAAAAAGTTTGAAAACTTTTAGTGTGGTGTATATATGCATACTTATGGTAACTTTAATGAAAATTAAATTATGTAAATATTAGGATTTAATTAAAAAAAACTGCTCACTATTGTCAATGTTAATTATAGTTTTTTTAATCATCTATGAAATCCTTTCCTGATAGTTTCAAAGTATTTTTTTGTTTTGAAATGATTACTTTCATAAAAAAGAAAAGCATATGATACATTGTTTCTAACATCTAAATTTGTCATTTTTATTGTCATATCAAAATTAAATTTAAATAAAATAAAAATTCAAGAAAAAACAATAGTTGTACTAAAATTGATACGTTTGATTTGCTTTTTTTTCATTTGAAATTTTTTCAATTTCAAATTCATACGCTCGTAAATCAACATTTGAGATTGAAGTTTTCTATTCTCAAAAAATGTGTGGCTGGTAACACTTTATTCTGGTTGTATTGAAGGCGAAGTAAAGGAAAAGCAAACAGCTCAAGGAGAAAAGTCGTCATACGAAAATAATAATCTAATTTAATTAAAGTCGCTGTGCGGAATTCTGGTTTAAATATAGTTTTAAGAAATTTTAATAAGCCCCCTGAAAACCTGCTCGGAAACCGGAGTGTGCGAAAGAGGTAAAAATTTATAAAAAGTAAATTATTAAATTATTTCTCTTTGTCACGGGTTTAAATATTTTGTTTGGTGTGTTGTTGTTTTGTAAAAAATAGGAAAAGGGCAAAAATAAAAATAAGAATATTTCAACAGCTTTAGAAGACAAGAATCGAAAATAAATTTTTAAATTTTGCAAAAATAAATAATAAAATTATTTACTTTTGATTCACATATGTTTTTGAATGCGATAGCGATAGCAAACAAGTGCATTTTTTGGCAAGGGTTGCAGCGGTAGGGGTGATTTAATTGGTAATTATACTACAATAACACGTCATGTAGTGAATGTGAATTCTTCTTTAGAAATTTATTTATATTTAAACTATGAACTTTAAAAAGTGAAAAAAATACAACTCATTTAAAGCGTTATATTTAATCTTTATGGTCTTATCTTTAATCACGCTACATATAAATAATTTCAGAACGCAGCTTATCTCTATTTGGCACAAACTATAGAAGATAATAATGTTTTCATTATATTTATACAATAATAATTGACGCATTCTTCAGCTCGCAATTTATGCAACACCAAACATACATTTAAATATAATTATGTAAAATCACACAAATTTAATTCTTATTTAATGTTCAGTTCAAAAAGCGCATTGTGCTAACACATAGGTACGCATCAGTATATCACAGTCAATAACTTAGGAAAGGAATATTTTCTACCTGGTATTCCTAAACATTTTCTAATATATGAATATGATATATTCTTGATTTCTATTTGAAGGACGATGCAAACTAATATATTTCGGACATTTACACAATTTTCAATTATAAATTTTCAATTCTATTTCATTATTCCGTTAATGGTTTTCTTAATCAGCAGTCGTCCATGCAGCCTTTCTTGAAATGGAACTGATTTGTGCACATTTCGATCTTCCTTTACATCCTTAAATCAGCACAAAAGATCAACCATGGTCTCAGTGTTTTGCTCCATTGGGAGCTGGTACCCTGCTTGTTTCTATTCCATACATCCTTAAATATCGATAAACCCATAATTTTCCAAAGCAGAAAATCATTAAAAATCAGTAGCTGAAAATAGTTTAAAGAAAAGAAAATTGCATCAGCGCTCTTATAGTAGAAAATTGTTTAAGAATTGTTATTTATGATATAATTTCTGTCAAGTTTGTATAGGCTGGTCTTTAAGTTATTAACTATATTGTAATATTTTGTATTTATGTATACTTACAATTGTTGATATCCACCATATTTTCGCTTGTAAATTGTAAGAAAGTTTGTTACTTGAAATTATAAAAAAATCATAATGATTTCATCAGAGCTTAATAGTGTTACTAAGGTCGTGTGCGAGTTGGGCTAAGTTGCGTTCTAAATGATGGAAATTCTAAGTTGTGCCGATAATGTAGTGATGTGTCGATACGTGTTGATAAATGCCTAAATGTGTGCAGTGCAAAAAATCCCAAAAAATCTCCCATTTAGTTTAGTATCAACTTAGCCTAACTCGCACACGTCCTAAGTTATTAAGTTACTATTATTAATAGTTTAATGAGGATAAATGCCAATCTGCTTATGTTCACTTATCATACGACAGTTGAATGTAGTAGGAACACCTATTAAAGCTATCAGGTTAGGGCACGACCTTAACTATAGAACATTTATTATGTCACTGTTTGGCTCAATGCATCCAAACGTTAATTCATTGGGAATTCACAATCAATGTAATGTTTGTTACTGAAACTATGTAGTTTACTGGAGGTGGGTAAGAAGGTGAACTGATTCTCAAAATGTTATTACAACAGAACCCTGAGATTACCTCCAGATTACAATAATATATATTTCATAAAGAGGTTTTTCGAAAAGTAATGAACTCCAACAACAAAAATTCATTTTATATTATTTTAATTAATTGAATTTTTGGCTGACCATACAGCTGTTTTAAGTAATAATATATATTAATTATATCTAATAATAAACTTATACACGGAATTTGTGACAGTATAAACATAATTGAATCGTATCATTTATGCTTAAGATGTATTTAAAGTGCTGTACCAATTCGATCGAATATTTTAATGATGCTCACTAAGCCAATATGCTTTATATTTCATATTATTATATTTTTTCAAAGCAAAACGTCTTATATGTTGAGGTTTTTCCGAGTTAGTGCAACTGAGCACTATTACTCTTTCTTAGCTGAGGGGTTTCTACAGAGTTCCTCCCTTCTCTTTAACTAATTTATGTATTCCTCACAAGCTTCACTGATTATTCGATAAGTGATCTAAGATCTGCATATCACTCCGTACGGCTAGTGACTGCTCTGAGATTAGAATAGTGTTATGTAGGGCAGCATGTCAATTTTCGAGTATATGTATTTTTTGATCGGGTCTATTGTGAGGTCTCAGCATGTTATTCGTGCGGATGTACTATGGCATAACAGAAACGTGTAATAAGAAATATTTGAGCAGAACATAAAGATCGAACTTGAGCAGAAGCTTTCTTGTACATTTAAATGCTCGAAACTCTTCTCTATATATGTATATATAACCCGTTGAGTTTTTACTGTAAATACTAACTACAAATCTTTGAACAGACTTAGAAATATAATGCCTTCTATCCATTATGCAAAGATTTGCTATACTTTTTTATTCAAATTTGTTTGAGTTTGTAACCTTTGGTTTCTTTATGAATTAATTTTCAACTTTTGCTTTTGCGTAGCGTATTTATCCAAAACGTATTTTTTGTATTAAAAGCAAATTGAATTCAATTAAATTAATTGCAACTTTCATGTTTCAATAATTATGCATGGAAATTTATTAATTAAATTCTGAATGCTGATAAATACTCTCGTTTGTAAAATTAATATTGGAACTTAATGTGTCTTGGCAATAATTGTTGCGGTACTGAACTACAACCAAAAATTCGTTATTAAAATAAAATTATAATTTTTTCGTTTTAGACCTAACCAGAAACATAATTATTTACAATATGTCAACCGAGGCACCTTTATCAGGCACATCGGTTGCGGCAATGCCATCAGAAGAACCCGTAGCTTCGGTTGCCGGAGAAACATCATGTGATCAGGATATACCTAAAAGTTCAACATCATCTTCGACTGCTTACTCCTTTTCTGGGGATGCGTTAGGTGAGTACAGGGCTGTTAAAAATATATATCTTTCCTATTTGTATTTCAATAGGAACAACTATGTGCATGTAATAAGAATATTTTTATTATAATTTTGAAATAGTTCAATGCAATGATCACAGTATATTTATCTTGATTGGTTTTTTTGTTTTGTCTATTCTAAGAGTTTATATTTGTTATGTTTATGTTTTATTAACAGGCAGCGTTTTATCAGTTAATAGGAATCCGAAAATGTCGGGGCTTTGAATATTTAAAATTGAGAAGTTTATGTTTGAGTGTGATCCAAAATACATATGTTATTTCAGAATAATTGACTATTTATATCCTTAGTAGTTATAGTTTAAAAATAAATTTTTCTTACGAATATTTAAAAATAAAAAATATTTCCAGAAACTCAATTGTTGATGAGTATTTGAAATGTGCGAAACAGCTTTATGGTCAGTTAAGAATTTAATCAATAAAAAAAAAGATTTTGTTATTCACAAACATTCCAAAACCTTATTTATGCGATTTAATCTTAAAGCTGACAAATCAATTAATATGTTTGAACGCCCTATTGGTCAAAAATAAATGTCCATATTATGGTCATGGACAAGAATTATTATTAAACAATGTTTTGCTTATGCTTACACTCACTAACAACCAAAGTATCACATAAATTATCTTTTGCAAAATGAAACTTTCTTGTAAAAACATTGAAATTTAATTTTTTATAAAATTTTTATTTTAGTGCATTTGTGAGGCACATGCTATATAATATTATTTTGGTTTTATTTAGTAGGACATACGTTACAGGGTGATAATTTAAATGGTAACACAACAAAAACGGAAAACAAAGAAAGTAACCCCAACACAGAAGCGGAAAAAGATGAAAACAAACATGATGACTCGGTTTATGAATGTAATATTTGTTTGGACACAGCAAAGGATGCCGTTGTTAGTTTATGTGGACATTTATTCTGTTGGCCATGTTTGCATCAGTGGCTTGAAACTCGTCCGAACCGTAAATTGTGTCCAGTTTGCAAAGCCGCCATTGGCAGAGACAAAGTTATACCTTTATATGGACGTAATAGCACCAAACAGGAGGATCCAAGGTATATTTGAATGCACTAAAGCATAGATTACGAATATATTAATTAAAAATTTATTTTATTATAATTATAGAAACAAGGTTCCACCAAGGCCAGCAGGACAGCGTACTGAACCGGATCCACAACATGGATTTCCTGGCTTTGGTTTTGGAGATGGTTTTCACATGTCTTTTGGTATCGGCGCTTTCCCATTCGGGTTCTTTGCCTCATCTTTCAATATTGGAGAACCACGACCTGGAGGTTAGTTAAATAAACTTAATTTATTTCAAAATAAATAAAATTTAATTTAAATGTAATTTCGTCTATTCATAGCCTCAAACCGTGGTACAACACAGTACGAGGAGGAACAGCAGCTGTCTAAATTGTTTCTCTACCTAGCACTCTTATGCATTGCTTGGTTACTATTTGCATAGCAAAGTTTTGTGATGTGTTTAATATTTTCTTGCTCATTGCTTATGAACGCAAACATATTAATAAAATCAAATCATAAAATGCAGTTTACTAAAATACACAACGCGATTTATAAATGAATTATATTAGGTAAATACAACATATACGCGACAGAAATTGTGGTAAAAGAGGGAAAGCCGTTAAATTTGTAAAATTCTTTTTTAAAATAAATATTTTCCCAGCTTATAATAACACAACACAACACAACGCTAGTCAAAAATTAAAAAAATTAATTATGCAAAAAATATCCCCGCAAAAATTCAAATTTAGGTTTATTCGACTCTATATCAATTGGTGTTTGGATCTGCTGCGCAATAATGTAATAAAATATTTTTTAAGAGGGACTTTTACAAGACAATGGTTTGTTTTTATTATTGATCATTTAAGTTTATTATATTACTTTAATGTATTATTTTTACTCAAAACTGAAACATTTAATAAAGCAATTGTTTCTACTTGTAAAGTATTTGCCTTTAAATTGTGTATTCTATTGAATAGAGAATTTTGTTGTTGTGGGCCAGTTGAACTCAAATAATGGCACGTTGTGATATCACCGATTAGCGTTTTTCATACGCAACCAGAGACAAACTCAAAAGGGCTGCAGCGCTCAGCACATTAAGTCATGAAACAGTAGTGCTGAGCAGGTTAGGCATTAATTAACCATTTGATTGGTGCGTTTTTATCAGCCTAAGTCTGTTTAGCTTTACTCAGACATATTTGTTTAATCTTATTCGAATCTAAAAAACAAACACATCACACTGACGACAAGACGAAAACAAGCTGCAATTTCAAAAGTACGGATATGTTTATGGAGTGGGAAATGTGGTGGGAATAGTGGATAGGAACCCAACCTGGATCTAAACGTCAAAATCTTTGGGAAAAAAAATCCCACCAATAGGATGTAACCATAAATTGATAGGGAAGAATTTTTGTGTGTATTTGGGCAAAAAAAAAAAATGAATGACGTCATGAGAAGTAGAATAACAGTTAAGCACATATATTGGGAAATATATTTAAGTATGGCAAGTAACTATAGTTATATCTGGATTTATTGGATGAGGTCAGTTTCTGTTTCTGTCAGTTCACATGAAAGACGTCTTTTATTTTTGGAGATTTAAAGTGGAGGCCTGTTGAGAACCTTGTGTTACAATTTACCTATTATAGAGAGTACTGACAAGGAATGGAGATCATGAAAAATTCCGCCATTTGGAAAGCTTGTAAAGCAAAAAACCGGTCCAATTATTTAGCAAAACCGATAGAAAATGATTTCTTCAACCATTACTTTATTTTTAATAAAGTTTCAGCCTGGTACACCAAAGCAAAAGTAAAAATTATTGTGATAGGAATAAACAATTATTTTTTAAAATGATTCTTAGCAGATGTATGTTATTAACTTGTGACAAAAATGTTATAACACAATTTGTATATTCATATCAACTATCTACAAAAACAAATTCATTTCCGATTTTACCGGACTTCAAGCGATAGCATATTTTGAAATTTCTAAAAATGGTTGAGTCATAGGTTGACCCAAATCACTTCGTAACAACATCTGAGAAGCACTTATTATTATAACACAAAGATTGAACATTAATAGAAAAAAATCACTCTCAATTATAACCTGGAAATTAATGAAGCAAATGTAAAACTTTTTTTAAATCCATTTTTAAATTAAAGGGCATACTATTTGATAACCTAAACATATTTTTTACTATTTGCTGCAAGCACAACCAGTTGCATTATATCAGGTAATAGAGTATTGTCCCTGAAAAACAAACCTGCAATTGTAAGTATACTAACAGGGTCCACAGTTTTTTAACGTGAATACCTGCCGTTAAAACTTAACACCATGGTGTTCTAATATACAGTGTTGTGCATAACAAAAGCAACCAAAATTTGCCCATCAAATAACTAAGTTTTTTGTCTACTTTTTACTTTTCATTCAAAAATCTAAATACACAGTTTTATTTGTTATTGTATTAGCTATTATAAAAAACAACAAAATCTACAATTCTTCATAACGGGTTAATTAATTCACACAAATAATAAAATATTGCGAAATGCGGCTGTGCAGAACAATAGCAACTGAGACAAGATCAATGATAGATCTATGACCAAAGTGCATTCTAGCAAGATATTTTATTGATTTTTTGCATTTTTATGCTGTGATTTATGTTTTTAAGCAAATTAGAACATAAACACAGAATAGTTCAATATTAAATCAGGTAATGGAAGTACGTTTTTATCATGGCTCGTGACGCGTATACTTTGAAGTTTAAAGAGGCAAGAATTGAAAAATATTTAAATGGCAGTGCTCAAATGAAATAGCCAAAATATTTAAAATTAATTAGTTTATTGTTTCGCAGCTTATAAAAAAATATAATTAGACAAAATACCGTTAAAACGGTTTATTTGGGTGAAGCCTCTCTTAAGATTACTTGTAGAATTGATCGAAACATCATAAGAATTACAAAAAAAAACAACCATTCGTGTCGTTGAAAAAGGTCGTAGCCGAGCTTAAACAAGGTGTTGACTCTAGTACTGTACGCAGGCTTACTCTCGAAGCCGGTTTCAAAAGTTACAGACCAGTCAAAAAACCAATGTTGACTAAAAAGCATTAGCAAAAGAGGCAGATTTTTGTTTTGCTTTTTAATTAATATTAATATACTTCATTTAGATCAAACTTCGCATGGAATCACTTAAATTGGACTCTTACTAAATGGAAAATAATTTTTTTCAGCAATAAATCAAAATTTAACATCTTTAATTCTGATGGGATGTGCACAGTACGTCGCGAAAAAAAAAACGTTTGTATCCGCGTAACTGTCAAGCGACTGTGAAGCATGGGCGTGGGTCAGTGCTAATTTGAGCGTTCTTTTCAGGACTTAGACTAAGATCTTTTCATGAAATTCATCAAATAATAGCCCAACATGTGTACAAAAAAGTTTTAGAGAGCCATATGGTACCCCATGGCGGATGAAAAATGTCACTCCGACGGGTATATCAGTACGATAACGACCCAAAACACACCTTAAAGCTGATAAGAGAATGGATTTTGAAAAATGGAATTCCAATTTTAGATTAGCCAGCCCAAACACCTGATTTTAATTCAATTCAGAACATTTTGGTATTCTCAAACGTCGCTTTGGGGGTCGAAAAGTTTCCAATTGTTTGAGGTCATGAAAGATGAATGGTGTAAAATTCCAAATAGTTTTATTAACAATTTAATATCACCTATGACCCGTAAAAGTGCTCAAGTAATAAAAAGCAAAGGGCTTTATACAAAATTTAGAAAAATAATACAAAAATTTTATATAATAAATAAAGTTGCTATTGTTCTGCTCAGCCGCATTTCGCAATATTTCATTATTTTTGTGAATTATTTAACCCGTTATGAAGAATTGTAGATTTTGTTGTTTTTTTATAATAGCTAATACAATAACAAATAAAACTGTGTATTTAGATTTTTGAATGAAAAGTAAAAAGTAGACAAAAAACTTAGTTATTTGATGGGCAAATTTTGGTTGCTTTTGTTATGCACAACACTGTATCTATACATTTCTTTGGGATTGCAAGGAAGCTATACATTTGGACATAATTTCCTTTTGAGATGAAGCGAGGCCTCTCTAAAACCTTTGTTGTTCATTGTATCATAGAACTAGGTTGGAAAATGCAGCTTCACGTCAAATGAAATGGATACATTTATTCTGCCCCCATTAAAGGAGGCTAATTCTATTCAGTTGTGACTGAATAGATAGGCCGCAATAGGGACTCATTTCACTTGTGACCCCCAGATCACTACATTTATACCTCCAATCGGGTACCGCTATAGGGACTCATTCACTACTCCAAACAGTTTTGGATGATGCTGAGTTTCAGTCGGGAGGGTAAATTATACTTATATTAGTAATTATACACTATGTTTTATAAATGGCTAGTTTATCGGATGATTCTGCATTGGCTTAATTCGCCGAAATATAATTCGAAATCAAAACTCATTATCTGAGTCACAGAGACATTCTATTAACTTTAAAACATCTAAGTTTTCAATGAAAATATATATTTTATTTTGCATTCAGAAGCGAAATAAAATATTTATGAACTTATAGATTTATGACCAACTTAAGTTACGCTTTAATCAATTTCTTGAGTAAACTTAAGCCTAAGTCTACTTTATGACTTAATTCATAGTGAAACATTTTTGAGACATAAGTTATGATAGTATAATCGTTCCTAATGCACTATTGTAAAAAATTCCACAGCTGGTATTTCTAAGCGCTACTTCCTGTTAATGCAAGTTCTTAGCATCTACTAGCTCGATAGTTTTTCATTTAAGAATCAGAATATAACCAACTTATGTTGAGTATTAAAAATACGCTCGAAGGTATTTTTTTGGAGTAGATTAAAGACTCAAATTGAATTCTCTAGATTATTCAAACTAATATTAATAGTTTTATAAAATATTGTAACATACTATCAAAATATATTGATTATATATTGATATATAAATATAACATATCAAAATATATTTTTTGTTTCCATTCTTTCTGGGTATTTTAATAATGACCACTATTCTCTTCTGTGCCGGTATTCATATCGGAATTACAGCGCAAATTTGGTATATTTAAAGAGAAATTAAAAGATGAGATCTTTAAAATTAAAATAAATGTGGAATTTATTTAAAATATCGTATTTTAATGTACTTCAGTTGATTATAGTAAACATGTGTCATATAATTGTTATAAATAAATTGTCGAACTAATACGAAACTGCAATATCTTAAATTAAAACAGACATTTTGAATAGTTTATTTATTAATAGGGTTAATAGGGTCGATTACGATTACCGCCGCCACCGCCGTCGTTGCGCATTGGGCCGCCACCACGGCGACCACCACCGCCGCCACCTCCACCGCTTCCTCCTCGACGATCATTTCCTCCGCCGTAACCTCCACCACCGCCATATCCGCCGCCGCCACCGCCACCACTATTTCCTCTATTTTGGTAACCACCACCGCCGCCACTGTTGCCGCGATCATTGTTACCTCCACCATATCCACCACCGAAACCACCGCCGCCAGAATTACCACCATAGCCGCCGCCGCCGCCGCCACTACCACCACCACCGCCGCCAGAGGAGTCCTTAGGATTTTTGCATCTATTACATTCACTGCGCCATGCAAAATTGGTATTAGTACAGCTACTACATTTCCAATCGCCTTCACGTTGTGGAGCACCACCACCGCCGCCGCCTCCATGGCCTCCACCACCACCACCACCGCCGCCCATACGGCCGCGTCCACCTCTGTCTCCACCACGGTTTGAATCATAGTCACCTTGACTACCACCGCCTCCGCGATCAAATCTACCACCTCCACGATCACCACCACCGCCTCCGCCTCCGCCGCCGCCACCGCCACGACCTCGACCACCAAAACCACCTCCTCCGCCGCCGCCGCCACCACCGCCGCGACCACCTTTATTCCAATTATTTTGCCTTTGTGCTAGTGAAACTTTTATAATACTTCCATTAAAATCGCGGCCATCAAACCAGGCGATGGCAGACTGCGCAGCGTTAATATCGTCATAAGTAACGGTAGCCTCTCCTTTTGAAAGCCCAGTATCTTTATGTTTATAAAGCCATATTTTCGGTTTCATAGTGCGTTTATCTTTCTGTAAATATAAAACGAAATATGAAGGAACATTAATTAAAACTTTAATTAAAATGTATATAAAATGGCTGTGGATAAGTCGAAGTTAACTGCATTAAATTCATTTTAAAATTAATTGCCTACATTGTTTAAATTATTCTTTTTACATGGAAGTTTCTGTGTTTTGGTAAATTTGCAAAAATAGATTAAAAAAAAAAATTTCGCGTGTTAAAACAATGAGAAAAAAACACTGAAGCGAACAGATATTCCGACAAGCAATATGAAGATTTGGAATGGAACGAACGATTTGAAAGTAATTTGAAAATTTTTATTATAAAGATGTGAATACTAAAATTGTTGAGCAACCAGGATAACTGCGAGGTACAACTGCGGATATGGAGCGAGAACGGTCGGGTCTACGTCCCGGAGCCACTCGTCACCTCGTTCAACACTTTCCAAAAGGACTCCACAAGCAGGTCCCGGCGGGTTACGACAACAACAACTGCGGATATGGCAGTTAATATCCATGATTTAATTATGTCAGATCCCTGATAATCCAAAAGGATACGTTAATAACATTTTGCAAGAGTTTTGGCATAAGAAAAAGTTGTGAGTTGTGATTCAGTTAGGCGTCCCGTTTACACATAGTCGATCAAAACAACTGCATTTACAACTACGCGTCGATTAATAATTTCAGATGAGACCATGTTTAATTTCTATTGATTAGTTAAAAAAAGTAAGAAGCCACACTTATATACATTATTAAGATGGTGTAATTCTGAACAGTGTTGGCAGAAATATTAGTCGAATTATATTATGAGGCGCTATCACATCCACATTGAACTCATCAGAGTTGACCCTGATTTTTAATTTATTTATATGATTTATTTTATGGCTTGCTAGAATGTAATTTCAATCATAATATTTTGATTTGCCTCTGCAACTTATATATATTTTAAGGTCCTCGAGGACCAACATTTTTTAAAACGCAGTAAGAAAATCAAGAACAGACTATTTCTAAAGATTAATTTAAAACATGTAAAAATGCTAGCTTTGGCTTTGCCGAAGTTGAGATACCGTGTACAGAGTTTTGAATCTATATGAAGGTCTCATTTATATAATACATATAGTATTATTATAATACTATAATACATAGTATTATTAATACTAATAAGAGCTGTTGTACATTTATTGTTTACGCCTATATTTCCTAAGCCATTGAAATTGAAACTTTTGGTGTATATGTTTGTTCGAAAACTATGGTTGTTCCATCTAATTGTGATAATTTGCTTTACTTTTAATATTGAAGATTTTTTTCGATCGTTGCATTTTACAAATTATGCATAAATTCCAAATTTAATGGTCTGATTTTGACCAAACAATTACAAATGTCAGCTCAAATACTGAGTGTACTTTGATGTGAAACAGACACATGGACGGGGCTAAATAAGCTCCGCTTGTCAAATTGATCAAAAATATATACTAATATATATTTTTACACTTTTCTCTGTAAAGAATACTATTAAGCAAAGATTCATCTTCATTCACTTATCACTGATTTTTGAAACACTTGTGCATTTTCTTAATTCTTATAATATATAAACTCTATAATACAAGGTGTTATATTTCATGCGTTACTCGCCGTCTCGCAACGAATTCATTGTAGGTTAGGTTAGGCTATACTGGCGATCACAGGGGCATCCACTTAGGCCTATAGACCCATTGTGCTACCGTATTAATAAAAACCTAAGGGCCAAAACCATCTAAAATCTTTGGCAAAGCTTATGATGCTATTGAAAGGGAGGTCTTTAAGTGCGCCAAGATCTTCAAAAAAGAAAGCCCCTAAAATGTTAAGACGGCGCCGTGCATATGCTGGATAGAAGCAAAGCAAGTGGAAAGTATTCATTGCAATTCGTTGTGTTAAAAGATACACATTTAATTTTAAACGCGTTTCTATCATACTACTTAGAACCTTATATTAAATTCTAATGCAAACTATTATTTATTAACATAACAATAAGATCATTACAAAACGAACCTTTATTACACCAATCGCACCAAAGTGTGTTTCAATATCCATTTCGGTAGTGGATGGATCCATTCCCGACACAAATATGGTATCTTCTTGAGTGATCATATCATTTCCACCACCGCCTCCTCCGCCACTATTACTGTATCCGCCTAGAAAACACATAACCTTATTAGTTATATTAGAAATAGTTTGAAGAATTTTGAGCATTCAAAACACTACAAAATATCTTTGACAAATTAAACTACTTAATATTAAAATATCCTTCTACTTTTATAACTTAGGATAACATAAAAAGATTGAAATCATCAAATTTTTAACCAGATTGAAGATAATATATAAATATAATATTTTGAGTTTTTTTCCTATGTGTGCTGGTGGTTTTGCAGCAGATTTTGTTATATATATATATAAGTAAGAGTTCCTCTTAATAAACCCTTCAAGATTATAATACGTAAGTACGTAGTACGTAAGTGATTGCTATTACAGACATTTTTGTCAATTTATCAATTTTAATTCTAAGAACGTAACATTTTCAAACCATGATATAAAGCAGAAATCTTAAATTATATGTATCAATAGAGATTCTTGGTATATTTTACCCATATATACTTTCATTCAATTAAATATTACTGTCAACCCATCGAAATTTTTATACCATAAATATATAAATTAAAGTTATTAATTTTATTTGTTTATTACATGTTACGGTTCTTATATACCGTATGAGTATGAGTACAGGTCTTTCAATATTATTGTTGGGTGTAATACGTATATGTAAAGTTTGACTAAGTAACTGCTGTACGCTTGTTTTTAAAAACTCAACCAATAAATGAAACTCTTAAGCTTATAATATAAATTATATTAGACTAATTCATTGCTAATTTATTTCATTTTTATTACACAAATAAGAAGAACAGAGCGACCCAAAATGATACGAAATTAATTAATAATAAATACTCTATTTTTATACTAGAAAATCAAGAATGTTTACTTATTTTTATACAATACAGATGAAGAGGGATACGTAACGTACGTTTCTGTATATACTTATTTATATATTATATATATTGATGTATGTTTCAAATACCATAAAATATAAATTGAAATTATTTAATTTGATATAGAAGAGTACAGTAGACGAATTTCTATAAGACAACGAACAAATTATGATCGTATTCGTATAACACGATAAGAGCCTCAATTAAACGGCAATACGTACACATTTTTTGTGAATAAAGACAAATAAAATATATTAACCAATGTTCTTAAAAACTGTTGATCTTATAGTGGCTTAAATAAAGTTATTTTTAATATAACAAGTAATAATATAAAAAGGAATGTATCTATAGCACATAGGGTCCCATATTATAATTACATACAACTCATTCTTTTAAATCATTTAAAAAGTATTAAGATTTCAATGATATGATTTCAGTGGTAGACTAGTTGGATATAAATAATTATGTGGACATCGCATTGAAGAGTGAAAACGATTTCACCTTTAAACACTGCAAGTGCAAATGAGAAATTTGTTAAATATGTATATTTTAAAAATATTATGAGTTATATTATTATTAAAGAAAGCAGATGCAAAAGCAGATTAATTTTAAAATTTAAGTTCAATTATTTCTTCATTTAGCTCTGGAGGAATCATATCTACACAGAATAAGAAAATATAAATGTGGAAGCAAAAGAAAATGGTAGTTGAAGAAGGTTATGTTGTAGTCTTATTGTCAGTAAGGTTGTCCAGTACATCCTTGCTTGCTTACAAACTCTTGATCTTTTGAGTGTAAATTATAATATTTAAGTATAAATAAATATGAGATTTTGCAGTTTCATGCACTATTGGAAAGTTTACTTATGGATATATGATAGTAATGAACTAACAACACGTTGTCCTTGCACTTGTCTTTCGATTATATACACATAGCAAACGATTAACATTGATCCAATCATTTACATACTAATATAATAACATATGTATTGCAGCTACGGAGGATCAAACCATAACAATGAGTTATATATTGAATTAAGATGAGATCATACTATATTTTTTATTAATATATTCAGTTTCAATGCCCGTAACTGAAACCGAAACCATTTCTAAATACGGTTTTATAACATACAGTATATAATATAACAAATCAGTAAGTACTATGTATATATATATTTTTTTTTTCGATTTCCAGTTAAATTCACATTTGTGTACAGTACTTTTGTACGCAGCTTATAAAAACTGTTAATTTTATTACAAAAACAATGAATCAATCTATTTGGGTCACGTCTTGCGCATTTATAGTTCACATAATGTACCTAGCAAAGAACTGCAACGTGGCATAATTTTTACTCAGAGTACACTCATGAAGACCAAGTACGTCACTTATACGCATTCACTTTCGCCAAGTGCCGGTGCTTATGGATGCGTACTTTTCTAAGTAGGATAGCATAAATGGCAAAAGACTCATGTCTCACAGCATATACTCGACTCGAGTGGTATGAATCAGTGAATATACTCATCGAAAATGATAGCTGCCGACGATTCGACCAGTTTTGGCATTCGTTGAAATTTTGTGTGAGTGTTGTTGTTTGTTTACTAAATAAAAAAGTTGTTTGTGTTTTTTTTTTGTTGTTGTTTGTTGGTGTTATGCTTTTAGTGTGAGTTTCTGTTGTTAACATTATAAATGCAAGTATTTTGTCAATTGCGATACTCATGAATGATTCATAAATTACTTGCATCCGTTTTGTGTCGAGTATCGCTGTCTATGAGTATCATATGAGAAGAGTATAAATCATTTAAAGTGCTGTTAGCTGTATGCATGAATCAGGTTGTCTAATATACGAAAAAGAGTCAAAATGCGTATAAATGAAATACAGTATTGGAGTACTGTATTGAGTACTCTCATTGCAGTTCTCTGATACCAACAAATTTGAATATTCGAAATATAATTAAAAATTTCCAGTTAATTGTGTTTGTCAGAGGCGAAACGTTTCATAGTAGCCTTATTTTGAGTAGTGATATCAATAACCCTTATATTTGGAATTACTATATTTGATTGCTCTTCGGATTTTCTCATTTTATACTGTATTCAGAAATCATCTTGTAAACGATTTACGATTACATAGTCTCTCTTCAGTCATGATCATAAACGTCATCATAAACGCATAATTCAGTCATCATAAACGCAAACACCAATAAAAATTGAAATTCTAAACGGGTAGGAAGGATCTGTCGTTAGTAGCACACAGTCTGTTAGATTGGACATGTAACGAAATGCGAACGCATTTTGTTCTTTGGTATTGAAATTCAATTTTCAAAATTTTAATGATATGATGTGAGGATCTTATATTAGTGCAATTTAATACAAACTTTCGAATAGACTTCGTAAAAAATAATTAAATAAAATAATCCCTTAATATATTATTAAAAACATATTAGAAAGAAGACAGAATGGATGAGCAAAAAAAAGTATTTGTATGAAATATTAAAGCAGGTGGAATACAGTTTTATAAGTATCAAAATAAAAAAGTAATATTAGTTTGTGAAATAACAAAACACATTTAAAAAGTAGTTACCAGAAAGGATGAAGACTTGATACAACAAATCGATTAAGTAAGAAAATATAACTGTTAGATAAGATACATAATTTTTTTTTTACAATTTTAATAAGCTAAGGAAGAGCAACGTTAAAAATATAATGCCTTGAATCGTTGGCCTAGATTATTTATGGGTCACTCTGTGATTTTAATAATGAAGAAATTTTGATTATATATCAAAAGGTGTTTTTTTTTAAATGCATGAATAAAAATATTTCTAAACTTGTAATACCGCGAAATGGATTATTGTAAGTAGTAAATGAATTGATATATTTTATACTTTACGCATTTGCAAATTGTCTTGCTTTTATTTTACCTTTATTGTAGTTGTCCTTGTTGCCGCCTCCATTTCTAAAATAGGATATTTAATACTCGTTTAATGTGCATTTGTGATTGACTATTGATTTCAAAAGTATAAATTTTTTATAGTTTGGTCTATACACAAGCAAATACCATTTTTAAGCTTCATCTGATCTGATACCTTCGATATTTTCGATATTTTCGATACCTTCGCCTTTCATGTAAATGATATACATTTGTTTAGATTTATTTATATGGCCATAAAAGGTTGAAACACTCTATTATCAGACCAGTTTCTCTCATATTAACTCTTTACCATTATTCTTCAAATTCAATTTTTTAACCAACCAAAACGCTGTACTTATCAAATAATATTTCGATATTGTATTTAGTGAGTATTTATGTATATAGCTAAATCTGTTTTGGATCAGATATATATATTTGTTGTTTTTGTTTTTAACCATCAATATAACCACGTTTTAAGTCTAGTTTTTTATACGCTGTAGCTTCTTCAGTAACGAAAACGTAATATTGTTGATTATAACACCTTTACTCCTTTAAATTACTCTCAAAATTATTTGATTTAACAATCATTAAAAATATATAGGTAAAATGTGTATAACAAAGGCATATTATAAAAAGTTGGAGTTCATTTTGCTACTCAACAAAAATAACATTACTACTAATAAATTAAATATAAAATATAATAACTAAAAATAACCATTTTCTATTGTTTTGTAAAAACGCAAGAACATGGATAAGTACACCGATTATTGTCACAAACGCCAGCAAAAAGTGGACACACGATTGTTTAAATGGATTATATTGTTGAAGTACAGAAATTAAAAAATTTCTACACAGAAAGGAATCCCGCCAGAGAATCAAAGCCTTGGAAATAAAAGGATCTTCATGAATTATAGTTATTTAGATATCAGTTCTTGATTGGTCGACACATTCACTTAACAATTATTTTTAAATTTTTATTAAATATTACGTTATTATAATGAACTACACAAATCGAAGTCTTAGAAATATGAATCATAGTTATTAAGATATCAGTTCTTGAATAGTAATCCACCCAAATGGCTTGACTTTCATTGAATATTTCTTTGAATTTATTAAAAAGTAACGGATCGAAGTGTTAGAAACAAAAAGGAATACTATAAATCATAGTTATTCAGTTATTAGTACTTGTACTAATTATAGATAGACAGAACCACCTGACTGAAATTCTTTAACAATCGTTAAAAGACAGCTAGAATGTCAGGGTCTTATGATTATAAATGAACTTTACTAATCCTAGTTATGAAGACATCAATACTTAACTAATGTTGTTGTTGTGGTAGTCAGTAGGGATGTGGAAAGCAGTTAACATGAAACTAATTACTCGCTGAATGCATGCGTTAGGATGTGGATAGGTAGCGGTTGTGTGGGTGAAGGGGGGAATTAAAAATTGGGGATGGATTGGGATGAATGAATTTTAAGTTGAAATCAATCTGAGTCAAGACGGAGAAATCTTATATCCTAATCACAATTATGCAATTCTTGCAACACTGTGTTGTTGTCGGTTTTTCTGAGAAATGGTAGGTGAGAGCCTATTGAGAAATCAATCTGAGTCAAGACGGAGAAATCTTGTATCCTAATTTCAATTATGCAATTCTTGCAACACTGTGTTGTTGTCGGTTTTTATGAGAAATGGTAGGCGAGAGCCTATTGAGACTCTTGTTGCAGAACAACTTTAGTCTCTAAGTGGGTACTGCATCCACATTTATATTTTACGTTACTGATATTAGCTCCATTTCAAATAATTGTTTATATATCCATGATATGAAGAAAGGATTCGTTGGAGGAATATACTGATACTTGAGGAACGGTACTTGGTCGTCGTGGTTGAATAGTAGCTCTTGGATGTAGACTCGGGACCGTTCTTGCAACGATACTTGATTGACCGGTACAACCGCTTGACTTAAACACCATTAAATATTACAAAGTAGCTAAATTTAGAGAAGTTCCGTTAAGCCGATTGGGCTAAAAATGGGACACATCTCAAAAATTACATTAAATAAAAATTTCATTTTAATATCTCTGGTTCATAAAAACTGAATTTAAGCTTCTAATTTTAATTTTGTCGAACATTGTGTTCATCAAAATAGTGTTGGTCAGTAATAAATGCCAGAATTTGTGTCGCTTAGGAGTAAATATGTGTAATTATAATCTACACTGCATTTTGCCGCAAAAAAGTAAATAATGTATAATTGTTTTTTAAGTAAAAATGTCTGAAACTATTGGATTCATAAGAATATTGTAAATTCTTTTGCATATCATATACTCGTAATTTTTGTACTTATTCAGTAAGCAATAATATATACTTCTGAGCACATTTATTTTTTTTTTTTTTACTCTAAAAATATTTTTGTTTTTTTATCTATTAATATCGTTGTGTTTATGTTCGATGTCTGCGGGTAATTCCCTATTCAGATTACAGGTGTGTTTTAGCGCACTTTTGCAAAAACAAAAAAAAACCTTAATGGTTATACTTGAGAATAAAATTATAAGCAAAGGCAGTTTACATACGTACTACGAAATCAGTTTAAAGTAAAAATATATTAAATTAAATGATTTTACTTCTACTGATAAAATTCTGTCATGTAAAGAACATTCTTTAATATATATGAACATTTTTTAAACAGACTTGAATTATACTATTTTTGAGGTACAAAAATAGACAGACTCTTGAGAGACTCTTAAAAATCTTTTTAAGACTATTAAAATCAGTTTTAAGCTATCGTTTAATAAAATTTTGCTTATAATTAGTTTGACATTATTAAAAGCAGTTTGATATCAACTTTACTAAGAAACATTATATCAATGTTTTAATTGGATAAACACTATATAATCAGCTGAAGTAGTTTTAATTAATTTTAAAACTACCTCGAATTGTCGTCTGTAAACGTAAATATATTATTTTATCTCTTTGTCAAGTCAGAATAAAGTCAAATCAAATTATTTAAAAAATATATACAACATATATATTCGAGGTGATATAATTCAGTATCTGGAACACCTCAATATTTAAATTGTATTCCTTCTAGTTACTGCAACTTAACTTATGTAATTATATAATTGATTATTTTCATGTCAGGTAGTTATTCTATTCAGGTAGCAACTATTATGGGTAATATTGAAAAGTATCACCGGTTTTTTCAAACATATTTGAACAAACACCACCTAGTGACGAAAAACCGCAAATAGTTTTCAATAAACAATTTAAATATAAAATTACACATTACTTTTTTTTTTAGAAGAAAAAAAAAAAATAAACAATAACTAATTATACAAAAATTAATAATTATTTAAACCTTCTACAGTAGTTTTGTTAAGCAGCAAAACACTCCAATAAATAAATAAATTTCAAGTATACATACATACATTGCATTAGGGTTACCACATTATTAACCACCTTATTTTATCAGAAATAATGGGAGTTTAAAAATTATACAATTAGTTATAAATTGTTAATTTATTTTTTGCATCGATGAAAATTGGGCATTTATCGGATAACACTTTTAAAAGGGCTCTAGCTTGTGAATATTTTCACGAAAATAAGTTAATAGATACATACCCATAACCTCCACCACCGCCGCCGCTTCCTCTATCATTGTTCCAGTTGCCGCCACCACGGTTTCCAGAGTCATAACCTAATTTATTTATAATAAAAAAAAAAAATAAATATTTATAAAAATATTTACATAAGAAATTAAGTAATTAGGTAAAAAATTTTCAATTACCTCCTTGTTTATTGTAAGATGGCGGAGGTTCATTATAACCACCGCTTTTGGGTGCCATTTGCTGAAAATTTGGTGGGGGGACAGAAAAATTATTATAGCCGCCACCGCCGCCGCCGCTATTTCCACCACCATAACCACCGCCACCTAAATATTTTAACACATTAGCACAAAAATACTTCTTCTATAATCACATCACTTACGGTCCATTTCGTTTAATTTATTAAAAAATGTTTATGCAAACCTACGAAAAATAAAAATTGCACTTTTTAGCACGAACCACGCTCAGCAAATATATTATAGGAAATGCGCGTCGATGACAAAAGTAACCAAACTTCCCTTCAAAGCGAAGCATAAATTACCCTATATAAACGACGAGATGTGTTTTCTGTTGTATGGATAAGTTTTGTTTCTTTAAAATTTTGTTAATATGTGTTAGAAAATTGAAATTTTTATTATAAATGGTATAATAAAAGAAATCATTTAACTGTTGTTCTAATAATTTTATTTTCATAATATATAAATAACATATTTTTATTTTATTATTTTATATTTTTAACACACTTCTAATAATTGCTAAGCAGTAAACAGCAAATATAACGTATATAGAAAGTAGAATTGGTTATAAACATAAATAAGTTATTTTTTACTTAAAATTTACTTAAAATTATTTTTAACATTTAATAAAAATGAATTTATTTTATTGATGCTACAGCTGTGCTCTTTATATATAGCACATATAATTTTATTATTACTATTTATTTATTTATTATTATCATTATTTATTTTATTTATTTTTTATAAATTAAATATTAAAAAAAAAATTTGCTTGTTAATAAATTTAGTTATATCATATGTGATAGCTTCGGAAAGATTTAACAAATATCTAATTGTGTTCACAATTTTTTGTAAGTACTTGTGTTCTATTTGACACATTAACCTTAGGAAAACGGTTACTATTGTCACATGTCACAGTTGCTGATATACTATTTGGTGTCAGCAGTTTAGATCGCTTATGTATTTGAAAACTGGTAGAAGCGTAATATTATATACACACTATCATATAACTACAGTTCATTACTTAACACAAAAATGAAAAGATTGTTTTTCTAACATATATAATTGGTTTATAATTATATTCTACATATTACATCTCATCTTGCATGATGATAAATATGCATTCGTCATTAATCTAATCACGATTTTTATTTTGCTTAAATAGCTAAATGCTAATAGTGTAAGATTACGTTTTTTATTTTTTAATATAATTTACTGAAACTTTAAAATCCTCTCCACCCCCATATAAATTATTAGATACACATTTAACACTTTAGCAATTTAGCACATGTTTTTTATGCAAATGTGTGTAACATTACTCAGTATATTAGAGATCTTTGATAATCCATTTGATATTTTTTTGTTTGTTTGTGTTTTTGTAGTTTTCTTAAAATTTTTAAAACGCTAGTAATACAGACCTGTAAATAAAATCATAGACGAACCCAATTATTAATTGTAATTCATAAATTTTATGCAGATTTGGTTATCGTAAAAAATAATAATTCAATCTAAATTTGTAATTTGCTCAGAAATTCCTATTAAACACTTACAACACTGTTCATAAAATACTGGGAAAAATAAAGTCATTCACAATAAGTAAGCGCAAATCAAAATAACAGCTGATCGTAATTTGTTTACATGCCAAAGTGCGAATATGTAGAGCAAATTAATTAAAATGAGCGTTAAAATATTCCTGCCAGAGCATCTTTTTTATACGAAACATGAGCATGACATTTTTGGAGAAATACAAATAAATGAAAATAATTCAGTTTCTTACTATGTGATATGCACCGAAAACAAAAGTAACTTACGTCTTCTTGGGCACATTTTAAGTGTCGGCAGCAACGCGACAAATTTGAAATTACGCGATGTTTCGCTAAGTTTTACATTTGACCCAGAAACGCCAAATATTTATTTGAATAAACTAAGTATTAAACCACCGAACGCAACGCATGTTAATGTCTTCCTGTACAATGCACGCAAACTATTGCAGTTGTGCACAACAATGCCAAAGGATGAATACGATGTCGTGTTTCTATATCACTTACTGCAGGAAAACCAAAGTACAACAGCTAAAAGGCGCACCTTTAGTCAGTTTGTATTAAAAGGACTTAACTTTCCCATGGAACTTATGACACAAATATTTATTTTTATAATGGAACTGAAGCCAGTGTCAATGTTATTGCACAATATTGCATTCTACAAACACTTCCGTGAATGGAGCAAGTTCCGATCTTCAGGGTAAATCTGTGCATTAAATAAACGATTTCTTTATTTGATTTTCTTTCTATTCACAGGAAACGAAACGTAAATATAACCTTTGACAAAATATTGGGCATTTACGTGATGCTCCTGTTACTCATTTTTCTGCCCCAACCAGGAAATTATCTAAAGAGAGCTTCACAGGTAGAATCTACTATAAAATAAACTATTTGTACTAATTTTATATACTCCAACGTCGTTTTCAGTTTGTGATAGGCCACGTGAGACTTTTAATCAATTCCTTAAAAGGTAATCCGATTGGTTTGAAATTGAACGTTCATTTGAATAATTTCTTTCTGGACTGTTGCGACTACCACATTGACTTGTGGGAAAAGTCATTAGGTGAAGCAATTACTTGTAAAACAATTGTGTAATTTTTAATTTTAATGATTAAATTCCGAACAGAATTGATTGAACCAATAATAAAGAAGTTGTTTTTGCCGATTGCCTTACTTGGATCCATGGGACTGTCCTTTCAGCTAGCATTGTTTGCAGATCTAATATCGGTTATGGGTTTACATGCGCACTGCTTTTATATTTACACTGCTGTGTATGTGCTCTTTAATTAATTTTACAATAATAATGTAACAAAGTTTTTTTCTAATTTTATAGTTTATATAGAATAGAGATAAAGGGACTACAAAGCTTGTGGAAAGTTATGTTGGGAAAGCGCTACAACCGTTTAAAAAGTATACACACTGTCATTGAAATTTCAATTATTTCTAAAGCAATTTTCTTCAATTTGCAGATCGTGTGGAGTCTCACAATTATATAAATCGCCAATTGTACTTGGCCACAATACTTTTTACATCGCAGTTATTTTTGTTTCCAACTATACTGGTTTATTACACAGTTTTTACAACGGTATGCACTATATATATTTCTTTGTATATATAAAATGTCTAAATTAATTAGTATTTCTTGAATACTATAAAACGTATAAGCTTAAATGAACGGAATGTCCAACTGTTGGTGTGTGTACGAAGTCCATCCTGTCAAAATAATTAATTTTAGTCGAATTTAAGTTATTAACATTTAATAGCAACTCTAGACGCATATTATTTAGGGTAATCGTCATACATAATCTTAGGAAAAGAAATGAGTTGTGTTAAATAACGTTTTTATAATGTCTAGAAATTAGGTCGTTGTTAAGGTTCTTTATAAATTAAGCATATTAAATCAATATTATCTGTTAGGAATTCACTGTTTACTTTACTTTAATATTAGTGGTGAATTAAAATAGATTCGGTCGTCTATAGTACTTGGTAGATAAGCTTATGCTACAATCAGTTAATGCAACCACAATTGTTTAAATTTATTAATAAATATTTGCTCTCACTTAGGTACGATTATGTATATATTTATTTAATCTGCTGTTGATAAGAACTCGTCGCCACATACTTGAATTTCCTTTAGAGACGCTTTTCAAATATCTAACACGGCGTTTTTATGAAGTCGGTAAGTGAAATTAAAATAAAAAGAAGACAATCATTGGAGTTGATTAAAATTCGCAATAATTTTTTATTTTACAGAAAGCATACATATGCAGCATTTACAACACGAACCGTCACCATTATTGGAACCTGAATCAACTCACATGGAAATGTGTGTTTTTCAAATAAATGTGCTATCGTCTTCCTTGGGCCGTGTATTTTCATGCAAAAGTGGAGTCCTGAAAGAATTAACATCAGTTGAACATAATACTTTGAAAAATATATTTAATGGTATATTAGAGGGAAAATTTTAATAAGTATTTACAAAAAAAAAAAAAAGTAAAAAAATAAAAACGTTTACAAGTATTAAAAATCATTGTGTATTATATTATTAATATTAAAAAAATGAAACTTTTAAATTATGTCATTATGTCTATTGAAACCAAAAACGACATGCATAAAATATATTTTTACTTAGTACCCACTCGACTTACTATTTTACATAGAACTTTGTTTTGAATGAAATTGGAAAGTTTTGCTTGGTTCAGGTAGATATAAACTTAATTTAAATATAATTATCCTTAGAGGTAAGCTTAATTACTATACCGTCGTTCGATTTGCGTCGCCACCTAGCTTTTGCACGAACTGAAATGGAAACAACAATAGAATATATATTATCATAAATGAATAAGATTTCATAAAAAATTTTTATCGTGTATTCATGTAATCTTATGTAAATAAATTTATATTGAGTTTGTATTTTCCTCAAAATTTATACGTTTTAAATAAAACCTAGCCAAACATAAGCAAATAATTCACAATAGTAAAATTTAAATCTATTACATTTACTGACGTTTTGCTTTCGGCTGTCGTTGACAGGCAGCAGTAGGTAGAAAGAGCAGAAACGTTTTCCCGAGATTTGCAATCCACTACGGACGTATTTTGGAATTACGTTAAGGAATAATAATGTCTGGTTACATTGCTAGGAAAGGTCCCATGGTTTTCTGTAAGTTTTTTACTATAGGTACATTTTTATTAAAAAATTTTTAACGCATATGAATTAATCGCGATTTAACATTTTATTTAGTTGTTACGTAAATTTTCCTCATAATAAAATTTACTTAATAGTTTATTTATTTTATTTGTAGCCAATCTTGGACGATGGGCTTACAATCTTTCTGGATTCAATCAATATGGTATGTGCAAAGTAAAAAATTGTGAAAAATATACTCATGAATGTCATTTGAAGGTTTGCACCGTGACGATTGCTTGTATGAAGACGACGATGTGAAAGAGGCCATCCGTCGTTTACCACGTAAATTATATGATGAACGTAACTATCGCATTCTGCGTGCATTGCACTTGTCTATGACAAAAACTATTTTGCCGAAGGAGCAATGGACTAAATACGAGGAAGATGTCAAATATTTGGAACCATATTTAAATGAGGTCGTAAAGGAACGTGAAGAGCGTGATGATTGGAACAAGGTTCACTAAGTGGTCAACTAAATGTTTAAATTAAATTACGCTTTTATTATTAAAATCAAACTAGTTAAACTTATACGGCAAAAACCAACAAATAAAGTTAGTTTAATTTAATTTCATATAGCTGTTATTTTAGAAGTTATGATGGTAGTATCCCTTTCATATAATTAATTCATCACTTTTTTTTTTATTACTTTATGTGAGTCTAATAGTAAGTGCAATTAAGCGTATTCTTCAAAGCTGAGTAAGAGTTATTACAACACCAAAATCTATTGGTAAGAGTACTAGGATATATAGCAACAGCTTAATGTGAAAAACCGATATCTTGTAAAATATGTGGTATAAAAGTCAAAATGTTTAAAATATCTAAAATTGTAATCGTTTCTTCACACAAATTATTTTGGAGTTGCAAATGCTGATTTTTTATTTGCCAATATTGTTACTAAACATGGTTCACGTCTGCAAGTTTGTTGAGAAATGTACATTTTCCTGAATTCTTAAACTATCATAAGTGATATAGAAGTGAAATATCACATAACTGAATTTTCTTAATGTTCTAGTAAAAGTAAACGTTCGACTTATAGTAATGGAATCAAACTTGATGGTCTTCAAATTTTGCGGCATTGAAAAACTGTTCTCTTAAACCGTCTACAAGTATCATGCATAGAATTATATCCAAATTTTACATATTGTAAACTGAGAGCTTAACACAATAAGTGAATGAATAAAAATCACACAATATTAGTAATATATGCAAATATGCAATGCAAATTTGTACATTTCAAAAGCTCTAGTCTACGTCTTGGAACTACAAGACACCACCAACCAAATACCGCTTATACTATTCATCAGAATTACTTTAATCGTAAAGAAGCGGGTTTTCATAAAAATAAAGCATTTACTATATATAAGCTATACTAAAAGAACAGTGTTAAGTAGTAGTCCACACATGGTGTAGTTATTGGCAAAATATTTTGTATTTCATCAGACTAGTTAGCGACTTAATGATATACATTAATCGCTGATTCACTCTCACTTTATTGTTCGAATATTATTAAATAGGTTCTAGGTTTAAAAATAGTAGATATTTTGAGCTAAAAACTGAATCTAAGTGAACAGAAGACCTTTCCAATTGAGGTCATTATGTCTCCTGCTATTCATCAATAGATCAAACAAGAGTGTGCGATGTATGCTTAATATACTTTTTTTGGTTTAAATTAGAGCCGAACAGTCATAAAGAATGAAACTAAAAATCTCGTCTTCAGCTATGCAGAGATGACATTTTTTTCACCTTAAAGAAACTCATCTCGTTGAGATGATTCCATAGGTTAAGATTTTACGTCAGTAATCTGCCTGTAACCTCAGCTTAGAAAGTTAAAATATCAGTAATCTTAAGTTTGTTATAACACTTAAACTGTATTGGATTAACACAGTTAGATGTTTGTTTGTCCTGGAACGATATCAAGCGAAAATACTACTAAAGAAAACGATTATGTTAATACAAACATATATATATAAAAAATAATGGGATAATTCAGGAAAAAGGTTCTAGAAAAATGTTAAAGATATAGATTTGGTAGTGTACGAGTTTGATCAGAAAACATTACATTATATGAACTACTTCATCCAAAGCAGGATGAAGTAGTAGCAACAAAGATTACACTGGATGAAACTGATAAGTACTAAAGTTTAATAGGTTAATTACTATTAATTATTAAACCAAAAACATTTTTTAATCGACCTATATTAAACCTATAGATATATAAATATATAAAAAACCATAATTAATATGAACTTTATAGAAAAACAACATATTCAATAACTATACAAAATTATTCTAAAGAATGTTATTGCTCTCTTTTGAATTTCATAATACAACAGAATAGCACTTCCTATGTGATTTTGTATAAATAAAATATATGAAATAAAAACTAATACTAAACAAAACGATTTTAGTCTTTACTTAAATTTTCTTATTAGAAATTTTTACCTAAACAGCTTAGTTAAACAAATATATGCTAACGTATAGCAAAAAAATGCATTTTACATACCTTTTGCATAAATGGCGCGTTGAGTATTGATCCTAAAATTGGTATGCGTCCAAGAAAATTAATAGCAACAGGAAAGAATCCGCTGAAACCAAATAATTTGTTAATTGATTATTAAAAAATCTGTAGTGCATACTTACCTAAACAAAGCAAAGAACCCATAAGACTCGATAATCATACCAATTATGGGAAATCCAAGTAGCACAACAGTGATTCCACCGAAAAATGCTGTTGTACCTTTTATTTTATGTCTCTGAAAGAAAAATCTGAATGTTCTTTCGACGCCAATCACACAGCCCAAACCGCACAGAAATAATATCTAAAAAGAATTAATTGCTTACAAATTGTTTATAAAAAACTTTTTTAACAGTATTGCTTACATTTCCAATTGCTAGCAAACCTTTATCGAATAAAAATAGCACTCCTAAAAACAGAAACGAAACGCCAAAACCCGCCAGGCCAATGCCAATTTCTGTAAATATATAAATATAAAAATTAAAATGAATTCGTGCTAATTAATTATTAACTCACTTTGTAAGTCTGTCACTTCAATCATTTTATTTTTTTTCTTTTTGGTTTACTTCTACTTTAAATATTCATACAAATATTCCTTATTTACAGCTTAAAAACAAATTTCACAAAATCTGCTTGTATTCCACGTATTTATTTAAATTTTTTTTATAAACAGCTGTTTACTGTCATTTCATTTGCCTGCACTTTTTTGACCAAAGGATACTTGTATAAATAATCTTTGTTTTTGACAACCAAAATGTAATAGATTATCAATTTCTGCTGGTCATTTTCAAATTTTATTAATTTTTATTAGGAATTTGACAATAACAAGCAATTAACAATTATAGAAAATTATTTGGATCAAGTATTTTTTGGATTATCATACAAAAAAATTTACACTTTTTTCCATTTTTTTGTGGACTCATAATTTTGTAACTTTTTAAACAAATCTCGTCATGTTAGTTAAATACATAAAATGATTTTATTGATTCATTATAGTTTTAACATTCTGGAAACCAATAAATTTAATTGTCAATAAATAAAATACATGCTAAAATAATAGTCAAGGAAATACTCGAATGAAATACTCATAATGAATAAATCCTAAACAAAATAATTTCCTAAACATAAATGGTAATGACATTGATTTAAATGCTGCGTAAGACTACCTGCACATGGTCAAGTCCTCGCCATCGATCTATAACATTAAGAGAGGTTATTGGTATTTAGAGACTCCTTATTCATTATTAAATATTACTTTGAGGACACTTAGGTGGAAGAATCATTGTCCCATATTCCCTATTACAAAATAGGGAAATTTCATGACTTAGACCAATAGGTTTTGAATTGGATCTGTCTGAGGAACGTAACTACGGTATAGACAATCCTTCTATAATACGGTTAATGCGTATCCTAAATTTTAAGAAAATGACAGCCTTCAAACGATACCGCACAAAATTTCAAAAGTTTTAGACCCATAAGTTTTGAATTGGATCTGTCTGAGGAACGTAACTACGGTATAGACAATCCTTCTATAATACGGTTAATGCGTATCCTAGAAAATGTCGTGCTGTATGAGACTCAAAAGCCCTGAAGTATGATACATAGAATATTTACATATATTTAGAACTTATTGAGTATAAATGTAAATATAGAGATTTGTTCTTTTTATTTAAATATATTTTTTTTTGAACAACTTAATTTTTATTAATAGTATTAAACAAAGTCATAACTGAAGACCAAGAAACGCCTAGTTTAATTAATAATGGCATTATTGACTATTATTTTGCACTTAATAGTTAATAGTATTTATTTGATATTTTGCATAATGAAAGAGATACTGAACATTGTTATTTTGTATACTTTCCTATAGTTTTGATAAACATCTTGATTTATGTTGTTTTCTATTACTTCAATGCTTTTTATTTCTATTTTTCTTACAATTCTTTAAGCAGACTTATTTACTACACAAATTGCAGCTCTACTTCCAATTGTGTCGTCCATGCCTATTCATGTCCTAATACACACATCAATTTGAGACTAATTGACTTTTAGCTTTATTCAATTAAAATCACGGCGTTTCTGTACCTTGGCCCACATTAGCTTCAAATAAAATCCCAAACATTCCCCTTCTCTTTCACAATTCCTTCATAGAACGACATCGTACGTAACCCATGTATTCGCATTTAAATATACATACATACGTATATTTGTTCAGGTTATGTCACATAGATCTAGATCTTTAAAGGCTATATTAAAGCTTGAAAGTTTTGAAACCTTAATAATAAAAGACAACTAGATATATTAGAAATAAACATGTTCAACTGAAAAGAATTAGCTGTGCCAAAATTCTTCATTACCTCCAATCGCTATTTAGAAAAGAAAATCTCAATGCTAAGAACAGGAAACTGATATATAACCAAATAATTTGTCCGTCACTTCTATATGGTTGTGTAGCGTTTAGCAAAGCTTCAAACACTACTATTCACCAGCTAGAAATTGAAGAAAGCCAGGCTATGAGAAGACTTTTCAAAGTTCCTTGGTACATTAGGACGAATGACATCCTTAGGGACCTCAAGATTGATCCCATCAAAAAATACATAAAGGTTAGAGCCCTGAAATTATTTGCGAAATCTGACAGACTTACTAACACCTCGTTATCAAATCTCAGAATGGTTACTGGCTCCTCGGGGAGGTATGCAGATCTGAGGTCAATTATTGCTTAGTCTAATGTAGTGATAAACAATAATCCAGTCAAGGCGCAAAGAGGGGTTCTGAAGAAACCTCGCAGTTAATAGAGAGTGCTCAGGTGCACTGACTCAACTAGCCTCAACATAATAATATTAGAAATACCTAATAAACATCATAAAAAATTTTAGTTGTATGTCTATTAATCAGATTATCACTAGTAGTTAGTGATAATTATATTTTTAATAAATGCAATTACTAAATTTTTTAAATTATATCATATTTTTTTCTAATGAAAAGATATTTATCTGATAGCTTAATTAATTAAAAAATTTATAAAACCATCAAGCTTTACTGTTAAATTAGCAAATATTAAAATGATATTAAAAATACATTATAAAAATAAGAGAAAAAAGAACATATTTTATTACTACACAGGTATTAAGTTTATTAGTATATATGTATTCAAGTCTATTTGTTGGTAAATGAAAGATTCATCAGATTATCACAACTTTTATCACATTGTTTTAGTAAAAAGAATTGACCAACTTTTTAAGTTGTTTTATCACAATTTCTAATCAAAATAATTTATCTTATACTTATTATAAAAATAATATAGTATTAAGTATAGTAAGTTAAAAATTTAACACTAAAAGGAAATTAGAATTCTCGTCGATGATATTTGTCTGGTTCAAAATATGAAGTCACTACAACTCGATTACTAAATCTGCGTCCTGTTAACGCTTGCTGCGCTTTCTGACAGTCAAGTATAGAGTTGAATTCTACGAACACTTTACCGCAACCAGGCACATCTACACCTCTAATTGGACGTGGAATTTCGATACTGCGTACAACTCCATATTTATTGCACTCGTCCTTGATATCTTCTAAGATATCTTCGTATTCTTCCTCATCACGTAGCTCGTCAGGTGTCACCATATTAAACAGGCATAAAATTTCAGTAGATGGTCCAGCATTGATTACAGTTGTCAAGCCTGGAACCTATAAATTTAAACATATGAAAATATACACATAAATTTTACTCTCAAATTCTGCTTAACGACCTGTAAAGTTACGGGAGCAGCTAGAATGTTAAGCGCAGCGTTTCTAGCACCTACGCTAGCACGTTGAACAATTAGTTTTTTGTCTCCCAATTGCATACCATTTAAACCAGCGATTGCCTTTTATAAGAAATTTGTTTAGCACTTAATACTTGAATTAAATTTTAACTTTTATTTACTTGATCAGTTACGTTTAAATCCGCATATTCACAGAAGGCATAACCCTTACTTAATCCAGTTGCGGAATCTTTAACTAAATTAAATGCGCGCAGATAGCCAAAGGATAGTAAAAGTTCCTTAACCTGTGAAATATAAAAACTAAAGTGTTATTTATTGAATCTCAATAAGATGGCATTGAAAATATGTTCGTTACACTCTTTCCAGTAATTTTTAAAATTAGATATATTTGATATAGGCAGATTAGCTGCATGCAGCCATAGTTAAATCGTACCTGAGTTGATCGTTACTGGAATAAGCGACAAAAAAACGAACACATTTGCCTTTCGTTTTCTAAATCAGGTTTCTTATATGCTAAAGTCTTTTGGAACTCCTTATATTAATATATATTGAGCTTAAATTAATTTAATTATTTGTAGAATGGAACTTGCCTGCTAAATAAACTGCTAAATAAATATATTGTTTCATTTTGAAAAGACTCGAGTATGCAGGCATGAATCCGCAATTAGGCATACACAACAAGGTCGTGTGTTCGCGGCTTAAACTAATCTATAATAACATAATATGAGAATCATCAATAAAGTTTGTAAACAGTGATAATAAAAATAATAGATGAAGTATGAATAGCATGAAAAAGAAAAAGAAAATTGCTGAAAAATGCTAAAAATTTACAAATGATTTCTCGTAAAGCTGAAAAGAAACACAATGTAGTTTTTGTTTTAAATCTAAAAATTAATTAAATTGTTCACATCAAGTTTTTCAGTTCTATGGGTTGCTATATATTAAAAAAAGCAAATATTTTAGCTGCTATAAATTGCAACATTAATCAATACAATATATTATTTTATATTAAAGCTAAAAAAACGACTGAGAAACATGGAAATATTTGTGTCCGTCTATTTGACAATAAACATATTTATTTTATTACGAAAATGTAATGTTGACCATAATTCCGAATCTTGCTAAAAAGTTATTCAAATAAATACGCTTAAATGAAACCAAATACCATTACAATAAATTTTATAGTAAGTCCTATAGTTCCGATTTTCATACATATACAGTGTAGCATTGAATATTCAATTGGTGAGAATGAAATTATTGAATCCATTAAGCTATAATATTGCTTAAATTAAATTTAAATAGTTAAACTTACTTGATCATCGCTTAAATAATTTGGTAGTCCACCAACAAATATCTTATGCACCGAATCAGGCACCACATTTGCGATGACACCCGGCATAACTACGAAACAAATTGTAATAAAGTTACCAACCGATTTGAAAATAAATAAAAAATATACATACAATCTATATTCAATCCTCCAGGTGTATCCGTTATGCCAGGTATCGGTTGATAGTCGTGTGGACGACGTACTTTTAAAACTTGTGCCTTAAAATTAAGTCCGTCAAATGACATTGCTTGAGTCGTTTCGTCGATTGAACGAAATTCAAGAAAAGCAAAATTTTTGTCTAAATTTATTTGACATGCAAGCACTGGGCTTCCCACTGCTTGTGCAAAACCCGACAAATGCATGTGCCGATTAAAAAAGTCTATCATTTCCTCTTCCGTTACGCCGAACGGTATGTTGCCTACATACAAGCGGCGTGCCTGGCGAGTTATTGTTGAACCAACGACAGGAACAGCAGCTTGAGGTGTGTCTGGTACTGTTGATGCAGGAATTTGTCCAGATGCCTGCATTGCTTTATATTGCTGTGGAGTGATGTGTTCAAAACCCGGTGGTGGAACATCCCAATATAGTGACGGTGTACGACGAAAAGAATGCTGTTTAAGTTTTACCGGACGTTCACTATGTCGTGAACGAGATTTGTGGCGGCGTCGCTTCCGTTCTATTGGAAGAAGTTATTGTTACATTAAAATACAAATATGTAAAATCTTATTACATACATATAGAAACGCAAGGGTTAATTTATTATTATAATTGACTATATAGACATAATTTATATATATACATATGTAATGTTATTCCAAAAAAACAGTTTTATTACATTACATACCTTCACGCGGCATCTGTATCCAAAATCAACCAAAAAAAACAATAGAAAATCAGCTAAGTTTGGATTTTGGATTGAATTTTAAATAATTTCAACACAAGCAATGAAAACAGTCAGTTTAGACAAATGTCACTTTCATGAATGTAATAGATTATTTAATTTTGTGACAATAGTACAAAATACCTTAAGATAGTGATGTTGAGCTGAAATAATTCAGTAACCACTTAATCATACAATACTTTTCTGAAGTTATTTTCTTTATTATAATTTTTGATGAATGCTTTTACGTATACATTATTGTCGATTTATGTAATTAATATTTTTATTTTAAATATTAATTGTAAGAGCCTGTTTACTTGTACATGCTTTCATTCTAAATAAGTTTCAAGTCTCAGTGATTATTCAAGGTACTCTTGAAACAATAACAGTGTTAAATAAGAGCAGTGTGGTTCACGTTACAGTTGAATGTCGAATATATGTGATACTTCTGTTCGCAATTTATTATTAAATAAAACATTTAAAAATAAATGTTGTAAATGTTTATTTTACGAGCATTTAATGTTTTAAACGTAATTATTGTTTTTTCTCTTGCTTCTGAGAAGACGAGCTGAATACTAAAGGATGCTGGATCATTAGGTTAGTTGCTGTTTGTACTCTAGTTTTTACATCACATTAGAATTTTATTGGTAATATGAGTTTTTCATGTAATACTGTGTTGTTAGAATAACAACCTTTAAGACATGAAAACATAGCTTAGTAAGTGAAAAGTGTAATAATATTTTGTAAATAAATAATTAACTAATGGAGGGTGTAATCGTAATTTTAATACTATGTTCAGACACACCTTAATTTCGCAAAAATACAACTATTCGTAAAATAAATTTTAGGCAAATGATAAAGTTGAGATAACGAAAAACTGACATTTTTTTAAATAAATATCAGTGACAGTTGACTTTAATAAAACAGGGAATATTTTGAAAATAGTGCGAAGTTTTAAAAAAGAATTTATAAAAAGAACTGTAACTGTTATTAATTTAAAATAGAGGAAAAAAATTATAATTCACATACCTGAAATCCACTAAAGCTAATGAAGCTACTGAATGTCATTTATAGTCATAATACTCAACTTTTAAAACTTTCCAGATGGTGTTTGGAGCATGTAATTTTTAACATTCGATTTGTAAACAAAAAACATATGATTTCCTTAATTTGGAGCAGTATGAACATTTACGATATTAACTTCATTTCTTTTTTGCGAAATTAAGGACATTTGGCGGTCTGAATACACTATAAGTATACGTTAGCTTTGTAGGATTATACGCGGGTTCTCGCTTTGAATAAATTAAGTAAGGCATCACGTGTATGGTTTAGTATAAAATCTAAATAAAACATTAAAGATAATTAAATTATAAGATATCAACCAAAATCTATTTATTTAATTAATACAAAATGGACGAAAATTATAAAAATTTTTTTAAAATTAATTACTAAATAATGAGGAAATAAAGCGGCAAACAATATAAGAAAGTAAGTTTCGAAATAACAAATTACTCTTCGGTTTTTTTTTCTTTTTTTTTTTAATCAGATCAAGTCTAATAATATAATATATACCCACGTAAATTCAGAATTTATTTGATTTGTTTGCCAAGATGCGAGTAATTGGTTTTTGAAACAAACAAAAATATTTGTGTCACTGAGTTCTAAACTAGTACATTCCTCAAATAAAAAAATGGCACCGCTTTTTTGCATCTCTTTCTAATTGCAATCGGTACGTAAAACTAACCAAGCGACTGCCTGATTTGTATGATTTGTTGCAAAAAGCCATATAATTTATATAAATTGGATTTTTATTATAAAAATAGGGTGGATAAATATTAATAAGAACTATTTAAGCTAATATTTGCTAGAAATAGAAGATGGGCTCAGATGGTAAGCACATTATAATATAAATATTTTTGTAAGGTTAAGCCGTCTGAATATTAATTGATATATATGTGTATAAGATATGTTAGTTAAAATATGTTAGTAAGTCTAATGAGTAATTTTTTTATGTAGATCGAGATCGCCGTCATCGCTCGAGGTCCCGTGAGAGGTACAGAGAGCGTGATAGGGACCGAAAACACCGCCGTTCAAGACGCCGCAAGCCGTCGCTGTATTGGGATGTGCCCCCACCAGGATTTGAGCATATAACACCGTTACAGTACAAGGCTATGCAAGCAGCAGGACAAATTCCTGCAAACGCTGTACCAGAAATACCGCAGGCAGCTGTGCCTGTGGTGGGATCAACAATAACAAGGCAAGCACGTCGCCTCTATGTGGGCAATATACCATTTGGTGTAACTGAGGAGGAAATGATGGAATTTTTCAATCAACAAATGCATCTGACAGGACTAGCGCAAGCAGCAGGCAACCCTGTACTTGCGTGTCAAATTAATCTGGACAAAAATTTTGCTTTTCTTGAATTTCGGTCCACCGACGAAACAACCCAAGCAATGGCTTTCGATGGCATTAACTTCAAAGGCCAAAGTTTAAAAATACGTCGACCGCACGATTATCAACCAATGCCCGGCGTAACTGATAGCACTCCAGTTGCAGCTCCAGTGGGTGAGTTACGCACATTAATTTTATAATGTTATAACGTTCAAATTTTATTTTATTATCGTAAGACTTAATTACAGTAACCAATGGCGTCATTTCTACTGTTGTCCCGGATTCACCACATAAAATTTTCATTGGAGGTCTACCAAATTACTTAAACGAGGAACAGGTATGTCAGTCTTAGCAGTTTTGAGCTCATAAAATATTTGTATATTTGTATATTATGCATTAATTTAAATGGGGAAATCGTTGCTGGGAGAGACCACGTCAACTTTATTTGAAAAAATGATTGTAGTGATTCTAACGCGAACAATTTAAATTGTGCGGATAAATTTTTCATCGCCAGACTCATCACAGTTTCCAAATTATTTTAGGCTAAAGCGGCACTACAATGTGCAATTGTTTCTGATAATTATATAAAGAGAGTGGAGTTAGTTTTTTAAAGTTAGATATTCTCACAGAGTTCAAAGTAACGGACGGACCTTTGTTTTTGTTATTGAAATAATTTAAAAAATGATTGGAAAATGCATTTAACTAGCAATATAAAGATGCATAAATTTGTTATTCTTTAAAATACTTGTTAAATATCTATTAATGTTTGTTGTTATTGTAGCTTAGGTTGTACGCTGCAGATGCAAACGCGTCCACTTCAACCTCAAGTACATACTATTGTCGTTGCGTCCACCAAGCTCTAAGCGCAGCGCTCGTATTAGTATCAAGACTTAGTTGAGAAAATAAATGGTGTCGATGAAAGATATTTCAGATACAAAGGCAAGTTTACTTTAAAAGCAAAAATAACACCTCTTTCAGGATTTCTAAACTTTTTCAGTGAAATTGATCGAACGAAAATTTGACTATAAATTTTATTGCAATGCGTTGTAGCAATGATAATGTATCTTTTTCTTTAGTCAGCAGGAATAAATTTTTAGGTGGTTTGCGAAGAAATTGGCTTGCTTATGGGTTAAAAAACAACATGTGCCGTGGAATTTCATAATTCACATTTCATATACGTCACAGTATAAATCTTATAACAAAACATAATTGCAAAACATGGCCATTTCATTTCGTTTAAAAATTTCAAATTTGCTCTATTATAAAGAATATGTTTTTATTGTTTAAAATTGAACACATTCTGCTTCGCCGTTCGCAGGTTAAAGAACTTCTCCTATCATTCGGACAACTACGGGCTTTCAATTTGGTCAAAGATACTGCAACTGGCTTAAGTAAGGGTTATGCCTTCACAGAATATTTGGACCACAGCATTACTGATCAGGTAAAATAGATCTAAATATATGGTTTATAAAAATAAGTTAAAATTCTGATATTATGTTAGGCTATAGCTGGTTTGAATGGTATGCAATTGGGAGACAAGAAGCTTATAGTGCAGCGTGCAAGTGTTGGAGCAAAGAACGCTCAACCAGGCAGTGCAACTGCTGCACCGCCTGTTATGATACAAGTACCTGGTCTATCCATGGTGGGCATGTCTGGCCCACCAACCGAGGTGCTTTGTCTACTTAACATGGTAACACCAGACGAGCTTCGCGATGAAGAAGAATATGAAGACATTTTGGAAGACATCAAAGAAGAATGCAACAAGTATGGCGTTGTACGTAGTGTAGAAATACCTCGACCCATTGAAGGTGTTGATGTGCCAGGTTGCGGCAAAGTTTTCGTAGAGTTTAATTCAGTGATGGATTGTCAGAAGGCGCAGCAAGCCTTGACTGGGCGTAAATTCAGTGATCGTGTTGTAGTAACGTCATATTTCGATCCTGATAAATATCATCGGCGTGAATTTTAAGTAACACAAGATTTTTAAGTATGATACAAGATTAGTACACAACATAAAAATACATATGAACATTTTTAAAGGTACAGTATAGCTCCAGATTTGTATGCAAAAATGTATAAATTTTTTAAAGATTTAAATTTACTATGATATTTAAATAAAATTTATCCAAACCGATGTTTATTGGTCATGATATATAAACTTATAACCTCTACTCTTATAATTGATTCAAAAGCTCAATAAAGTGAACGGTGATTTTCGTTACACTTTACTAGGTATTAGTTATGTATTAGGTATTAGTATTAGGTATTAGTTATTAGTTATGCGAATGTAACTGAAAATTGCAACACACAGGATTAGATGTTTGATAAAGTTAGGATTAGTTAAGGCATCCTGTGTTTACGCATCGGCAATTGTTCATGACCGTGAGTAGAGTTGAATCTTCTGGTTTATTAATATGAAATTTGAAAAGTAATTAAAAAGAACATAGAAGTTCTACAAACTATATTTAAAATTTTAAAATAAAAAATTTAAAAGACTTTTGATATGATCGAAGGATAATGGTAGAATACGGTTTATTAAGTGTATTAGGCTATCCTGTACAAATATTGATGTAGATGTTAATCAATCGTTTGGTTCAGTTTTACAAATTCACTTCTTTTATATATTTTTAAATTTCATTCCTTAGTTGATCATCTATGATTGAATGCCATTCGTTCATCCCAAATTCTTTTTTTTTTGTTATTGCTTGATGAGGCATGAGATAGTCATCTATCTGTCTTCTTTAAACAAAATTAGCTTCAGAAGGTGAAATTTTATTTTCCAGACGTATGACAAATGGCATTTTTTTTTATATTGCACTTGTTGGATTAATATAAGCGAAGATGATATTTGGTATATTGAGAAATTGTTGTGTTTATGAATAATTTCGGTTTGATATATAGGAGTAATAAATGTTTTTAATACTGTTAGAATTTAGAGGGACCAAATAGTGAGGAGATAGTACTCTTTTATAGAAATTTGTTGGATGTATTTATGTATCTTCATAATACTAAATGTTTAAATCTACGACCAAACGCTTTTACATATAAAACCTCTTCTAAATACTTATTGTGTTTTACTTTAGATAAATGTAGTCATCTTAATTTTTTTTCTTCTGAATAATCACGTAATGAATGACATCACATCTCATGGAATTCATGATATTTTCTTGAAAGGTTTTTCAAAATATTGTATACCGATACGTTTACATTTTAAGAATTTCGAAGTAATTATATCGATTTGTGTTTCATGTATTATCTCTTACTTTTTTTTTTAACGCTTTGTATTATAATTTTTATCTTTAACTATCAAGATAAGACGCTTGGTTTAAGTTATTAAGATAATAGCAATCTCTGAGAAAATCCATTGTTTGCACGAATAATAAAATTTTAAAAGCAAGCTCATAAAATGAAAAAATAAATTAAAATGTATTTTTACTTAGTTATTATTCAATAGTCATTTTAAGATAAAAGGTTTACGATTAATTACGGATGGCAATTTTTTTTTGCACTGCTTAAAATTAGGTCGTAAATATAGTATTTTTTATTATTTATCGCATTTATAAAAAAAAAAAATATATACAGATGACAACTTTTAGATTAGGTCATATTAATTAGCAATTTCGGTTACGACTAAAGCATAGCAAAGTATTTTTTAAGTTCATCAATTGCATTTATTAGCCAACTTCAAGAAAAATTAATTAAATTA